GTAAATATCACTATCATCTGTTTCATAAAAAGCGCCCTAGAAATTAGCCACCTGATGGTATGTGCGTGTATTTTGAAATGAATGTATCTTCTGTAAAAAGAGAAAAAAAAAACAGACAAAGGCGTGACAATGCCTCTCACCTATTGCTCATGACCCAGCTAAATGTTTTAGTATGAGAAGGCTTCTGTCTCAACACGTACTGAAACATTGTTCCGAAAAATATAATTGTATCTTTTACTTTTAAGCCTTTCCGGCCTCTGTACATCTGTTACCTTACAGTGTCGATGGAAGAAGCAAACGTCTTTTTATTTCTTGTTTGTTGTATCCTGTCACATGGTTAGATTGTTCTTGACTTATGTTTGTCTGACACCTCAATCCATCTTTCCCTTGGTCTGCTTCTTCCTGTGTCTTTGTGATCTTCGGTTGCACGGTCTCGCTGCTAGACTGTCTGGTAGAAGTCTTGACAGATGTCCAAACCTTTTAATTTGCAGTTTATCTCTAGCTGTAAGCAGGGAGTTGAACCAAATTGTTCTCTAACAATCTTGTTTCTCACCCTGCCTCTTCTTGTGATGTCTTAAGTTTTTCTTAGTTGTATGTATATAAGTAAAATTAAAGGCCATCACAAAGCGCTGACCGGCGTTTGTTGTGTAGCGGTTCATCACTCGCAGATGACTTCGAATTTTATTTGAGAGTGGGGAGAAATGTTTATGGAGTACACAAAAACAAGGTTCTCTCTGCTTTTGCGTTTGAAATTCACAAGCCTGGTCGCCCAGTATCTCAAAATTATCTCAAATGCAGATAGAACTCTTTAAGTCTTATAAGACAAAGTATCTGTCGGTTTGACCGACTTTGTTCTACTTAAAGATTTTTCCTTAGCCATAAGCAGCTATGCGTGACCACTGGGATGTGTCCTTGGGCAAGACGCCCTTTCCCATCTCCAACAGGCGCAACAGTAAGAAACCCAATGATGGTAGGTCCATATGCCTGCTAGTTAATAGTTGTAAGCCCTAATGATACATTGCATCGTTGTAAATGTTTACAACGTATTATTATAATATACTTTACGGTATTTGGTCTTATGAATTTTCTATTTGCTAAGTTTATTACTACACTATGACTAAGAACAAACTTAGAAAATCACGAGAAGAGTCAATGTGAGAAATGAGATCGTCAGAGAACAACTTGGCTCGACTCCCTGCAAGGAGTACATAAATAAACAAGGCCCCAGCTTTGTCAAGACAACCACCAGACAGTATAGCAGGGAGAACATACAACCAGAGATCAGATGGAAACAGGTTAAGAGGCATGCCCGGGAAAAGATGGATAGAGGGGGTCAGAGAAACATTAAACAAAGACAGCATAACCATGTGATAGGTGACACCAAAAAAACCCCTCAAAAACAAGAAAAAAAATGTTCGCTTTTCCCATCGACACCATAAGGTAACAGAGGCCGGGGAAAAGATACAAAATATTCCAACACAAATTTTCTAAAACTGATACCCCCCCCCCCCCCCCCCCCCAAAAAAAAAAAAAAATTAAAGCAAAATCAAACAAACAAACACCGATGTCTTTTTTTTTTCATTTACACTAAGGGCAATAACAGACAGGAAAGAGAAGGAGATGAGTTGAAACCCAATAACTGAAAGGGTCGGAGAAATAGAGGGTCAAGGTCACCCTGACGCCATTTCACATTGGACCAATGCATATTATTATTACTAGTTTGGATGTTATTTCTAAAGGCCATAATTGTGATTTAAAGCCAGACAGTCATTTTATCATTTCTTTCATTCAGTATTATCTGTGTAGTTTTCTCTGATATGTTGTCATACAAAGAACTCTATTTGGGGGGGGGGGGGCGCAAAATGTGACTCAGACCATTATTTTTCTGACCCCTTCAAAATAGTGCACGCATCCTCTTTCGGCGATTGAACTCTATCCTTAATTTGGCAGACAGCCAATGAGGCGGTTCGTCAGACTCGGATAGAGCAAAACTGCATGTGTTTAGTATTCTGAATAAAATAATAATGAATAGGGACGGGCGTCAGGTCAACACAGCGATGCGTCGGGATACTTAGAACGTGTTTGTTTGAAAAGCGATTACTATAGCTGCATTCAAGTAGCGCATATGCACGCTCCACAGCATGCTCCATGCGCTTTACAAAGTCTATTATTACCCAAGCAGACCATATATCACCCAGAAACATTCCTGGCTTCCCGGAAAGCATACATTGCAAGCTACCACTTGGGTGCTCAAACACCTAACAAAACTACAAGATATTTCATTGTCTGTAGCCAGGCACCTCATTCCCGACTGGGTGAAGTGAGGAAATTTGTGTAAAGGTAAAGAGACTCGTCGTCTGTCCCTGACAGGATTCGAACCTATGACTTCTCTGTTTCGACAGCTTAACCACTAGACTACCGTCGTCACGCTGAAGCCTCCACCTGTGAGGTCGTCCTCCAAATACAGGATCTCAATCACATTCTCCTGTGGGGGTTTATC